CACACACATACATGCATAAATAGTACCATTGTCTGTCGACAAACCGACTGACTACTTGGTCGAATAGTGAAGCTTTTTGTATTCATGATTCCGTGAATGCTTTGAATCGATACATAGGCATAAATATTTGAATAAATCAGTTCGGATATGTCGGTTCGTATTTTCGGTTTAGAATTGGTTATTTTCGCTATATATATATATATATATATATATATATATATATATATATAAAGAGAGAAAGAGAGAAAGAGAGTGATTGAAAAATCGAGGAAGAAAGAAGAAGGAAAGAGAAAGAGAGAGAGAGAGAGAGAGAGAGAGAGAGAGAGATGAATAAACTCTGTTTTGCCCAGATATAGAAACTATGTTGTAATGAAATATTTTTACGGTTTTATTTTTGATAAAGTCAGACGCTCTTTAGTATTATTTTTGATGTTTCAATCATCATATTTTACATTAGGAGACAGAGAAAGAAGGAGAGAAAGAGAGAAAAAGAAAGAGGGAGAGAAAGGAGAGAGAGAGAGAGAGAGAAATAAAAAAAATTTCAAATAGAAATAAAACATTTGTATGAATGTATTTGCTTCGTTTCGTGGTAAATATTTTAGGGTATAAAATATGAGACCATAAAACCACCGCATTAATTTTATGTGTTATGCATCAGGTCAGCCCCATGGCATTCATTCAATCATTCACCTGTCCATCCATCCATCAATTTATTCATTCATTTTTCATCCATTCGTCAATCTCATCCTATCCCTGCAGCAAACAAAACATCTGTCTTTAGATTATAACGACATCATGTTATCATCGCGTACATACAAAATATTTTTCTTTTCCTCTCTTTCTTTCTCTTTCTCTCTCTCTCTCTCTCTCTCTCTCTCTTTTCTAACAAAAGAGATTGATGGTAGAGCAGTTTTTAATTTTAATTTGATTATGACTTGAGAAGGATAATAATTATGTAGGTTTTATACTGCAAAGTTCATTTTAACTCGGAATGAAATTGATCTGACGTTAATAAAACTTTGGCCGACTGATTGGGAATCTTATTTCACATCACGATCATCGTCATTATCATATTGAAATCGTCATCACCTTCATCATCATCATCATCGCTGTCATCGTCATCATCATCTTCTTCTTCATCATCATCATCATTGTCATCATAATATCATACCGCAAATTTTTTCACTAATGTTCAAATCCTTCAGTTTTCAAAAACCAATCACACGACAAGCCACCAAAACAACCAACCAATCACGCCCCATTTAAAAAATTTTGACCAATCAGAACAAAGCAATCTTCCGTTCCCTTCTGACGTCATCTCAGTTTTATTATCCCCTATCTTTTCATCGGTCAAGGGCAAATAAGCAACGTCATTGTTCGACCAGTCATACTCGTTAAATTCCGACAGATCTAACTCCGGCACATTATCAAGCCAGGTCGGCACCGTTCTCACTTTAGTTCTTTTTCTAGTCGAGGCAACAGTTGGTTTTCCAAAAAGTGCTTTTGTTTCCGGGACAGCTGTTTCAACAATGACGTCATCATCTTCGTAATTTTCAAATGCGGTGCTGTCCCAGACGGTTATGTTTTGGTAGTATTGCCAGAAATCTTTGCTAAAGTTTGAACTTTCAAAGCCTTTGAAGGTCAGTTTCTTGAGGTTTGTAAAATTCTTAAAAGTATCGCTGCTAAACTTTGCGTCTGTGATACAGGAAAAAGTGATGTACATTAGTTTGTTTCGTAGATTGTTGTAGCGCTGAAGTTTTTCAACCGCTTCAAATGGAAGATCGTTTAGTTCCAAGGATGTTAAACCGTCAAGTTGGTCAAGGAAGTCGAGACGATCTATCTTGTGCAGAGATACGTTGGTGATGCTAGCTGCTGTCTGGTGGCGGTCAAGATGATTGTATTGGTGTAATTACAATAACGGTGATGATGATAGGAATCATAAAAAAAATTAAAAAAAAACATTAAAAAATTTTGAGAACCTCCAGGGCCAGACTGTCCAAATCATCAGGTATCTCATCAACATCGATACTCAGCAACTTTCCCTTTAATAAATCAATCAAATTGTTATTCTTGAATAGAAATTTGGTCATCTTTTTGGTCTTTTTGATCACGAGCTTCTTCATGGAAATGACATTCAGAAAAATGGACTTCAAACTTCCCTCAACTATCTCAACCCTTTCAAAATGAAGTTTCTCAAACTTTAAATGATCGAAGAACGACCCCGAAATAAGGTCAATGACAACCTTCTTAAACAAGATCTCTAATGTTTTTGTCCTATCAATTAGTAAAAAGTTCCTATCCAAAACTGGAATGCGGCAATTCGAAACCAGGCAGAAACAGTCTGAAACTGTACACCTCTGTTCATTGCAATTTCGATTACAAACTTGATAACCTGAACTCTGCGGATGCACATTCTCAGGGGTAAACAAAATAATTATGTAGATTTGCTTGAAGATGATGTTGACAACGTCGGTAGCTCTGGATCGAGGCCGGAAGTGGCATTGGATTTGGGAATGGAATGACAAAAATCTAGGAAGTACTTTCATTTTTTAATCTTTCTTAATTTAAGATTTCAAGTTTATTTTCAGCCAAATGACTGAGTTTCGCTGAGATTTCTGAGGTTATTATGATATCAGATATAGAACAGAGTGATCACGTTTGAAGTTGATTACAGATTATTGAATTTATTATTATTATTGTTATTGCTTTTTATTCATCTAACTAGTTCACTAATTGGAGAAAAAAAAACTGCTTATATGGAGAGATACTTGCCCGTAAACAAAAACAACAACGGGTGTGTAACTATTATTATTATTTTTATTATTATTATTATTATTATTATTATTATTATTATTATTGTTATTGTTATTATAATTTGCAATGAATAAACAAACGATTTTGAGAAAAAATAAAAAAAAGTTTATTTTCATATAAAAAAAGATTCCTCGACGAAAAAATACATGAATGCTTTATGATAAGACGCGAAAAATAATAATAATAATAACTAATTATAACTAACTAATAATTATTATTAATTATTATTATTAGTGCTTTTATTGTTATAATTAAATTAATAGCATACCTTTGGTGAAACTTGGCCAAAAAAAAAGAATATTAAAAAGAAGACTCGAAATAAATAAAAAAACTGACATATCAATCAACCACCAGTCAATCAATCATATAGATATATATCAATCAATCAACAAATCAATCAATCAATCAACCAATCAATCAATCAATCAATAAACCAATCGATCAATCATATTTTGATTGACATATCAACATAATACTTCAAGACAATCGCCACAACGCAATTTTCAAATAGAGAATAAACTCAACTTGTACGAATCAATTAAAGCATCGGAAAAAAGTTATTTAAAAATAAATGAATTAATTAATTAATTAATTAATTAATTAATATAAATAAGAGTCAAAACTCAAAACATTTTGAATAAATTTAACTAGAAAAAGTTCTCAAAACTAATACTCGTAAAAATTTTGAAATAAACCACGCCGGCAAACCATTGATGGAAAAAATCCATTCAACTGACTACAGACAAATTATAATAAGCAAATAAACTTTTGAGTGAAGCCTAGTAAGCCAGGGATAACCATGCGTTTGAATCCCGTTACTGCGTGCATGTCACGCAAGACCAGGCGCTCTTAGCCACTGGGCTATCGTGGTGACCTCAATACACAAAATGGTTAAAAATCAAATAACAAAAGAGGTTTTGACTACGGTCAATTGCATATTAACATTTTTCATGAAAAATCTCTTGAAAAATTTCAAATTATTATTATTTTTATTATTATTAAGAATAGAAATAATAAAAACCACACTAAGTATAACAGCAGAAAAACATAAAATCATTGTAATTAATTTATTACGCATGTAAGAATCGTCTACATTAAATGAACGTTCATACGTTCAAAAAACTGCCGTGTTCATAACATACAATTTATTTTTCATTCATTCATTCATTCATTCATTCATTCATTCATTCATTCATTCATTCATTCATTCATTCACTCATTCATTCATTCATTCACTCACTCATTCATTCATTCATTCACTCATTCATTCATTCATTCATTCACTCATTCATTCATTCATTCGTTCGTCCGTTTGTTCGTTCATTCATTCATTCATTCATCCATTCATCCATCCATTCACACAATCACAACTCATTTTTCAGTAACTGTATTAAAAAAAAATAACTAAATTCAAGCTTTATAAATTGTGTTACAAAAAGTAATAATATTAGTAGTAGTAAGAGGTAGTAGTAGTAGTAGTAGTAGTAGTAGTAGTAGTAGTAGTAGCAGTAGTA